AAAAGATCTATCACCAAAGTAGAAAGGCATTTCGTTAATTTTGCTAATAATTACACAAACGCAAAATAATATTATGTAATCATGTATTGGTTCAAATAATCATAAATAACCCTCTTCCACAGTGGATAGGTTATAGTTTAACATATGATCTCATTATTACTGGGTGTTTAGTAAGCTGGAAAAATCTTAAGGAACTTAGCAAAAGTTCTCTAAATTGCCTAACAGTAAAATTGGTAATATAAGTTAAAAATATTATGCTGAGAAATTCAAAATGGAAAAATATAAAATTTTACTCATTTATATGCATGCTATTTTTTTAGACTAAATAAAAGTTTGGAAAATACCCAATACCTGTCTAGTGACAAATGACTTTAAAATATAATATGCAAGCAATTTTAAGATAAATGGGTTAAAAATTTAAAAATGAAGACTATCAACAATGGATATCTATATAGATATTTATATTAAGTCAATCAATAGAAAAAACAAAAGAAGGCATGTATATAATGATTTAGAGAAATGCAATGCCTTACTGAATGAAATGCACTTATACTTCTATATCTGTAAGGAGAAAAGATTCAAGAGAACACAGGAAAATATGAATCATGACTGAAACAAAAATGAGATGTTATTGGTACATTTTCCCTCAACACATGTAAATTGATCGATAACCAATTTAAGTAAAAATAAATTTATATTAGACTGGTTACCAACTACTTAGACTTCATGAAATCACAGCATCAAATATGTGTAATCCGTAAACAGAAATAATTAATTAAAGCACTACCTTCAATATTCTGATATTATCAATGAAGCAAAGAGAAAAATGAGAAACTGCATCCCAGGGTCTGCGTTTTCTCTATTTTATACTGGATATTCACCAGATGGTCAGTTTTATACTGGATATTCATCAGACAGTCAGGATCAACAGGCAATTTGACTGAATGATAAGGTAGGTGCTTCCTGTTCCCAGGGCTTTGGTTCTAAGAGAGATACACACAATCCTAGGGCCCTCCTAATACAAACTCCATCTTCAAAATAAATGTTTCATCTTAATTTGTTAGTTTCCCCAATCCTCATCCACCCCCTGAAACAGAGAACTCTGCATTTCTAGTCTGGCAGCTTATTGGACTTATGAAAGTTAAGAAGAAATTAAAATGCTAAAACATCCATCTGAGGACTTGAGTGCTGTTCTGAACTCTGAAATCAATACTGAACAAGGGTCTTTGAGTAAAGCTTAACTGAATTCTGATAAGAATTAAATTAAATTTTAGAGTCACCATGGATAGATCTCATTAAAGAAAAATCTTGATTCAAGGTTCTTATGAGGGAGAGAAGTCAAAAAGGATGTTAAGGATTTCCATTATTTGAATTCACCCGGCTCTTCCAAGAATATGATTAAATATCTCCCAGATAGTTTTCCTTGTCATAAACACAGCATTGGGACAAAAGCAGAAGGAACTGCATCTTAGAGAATCCCCAAGCCTATGCCTGGAATGGAGATGGAAACCCACACACTGTAGAAACCCTTAATTTAGTCAGATTAGACTTTTTTTGGTCTTATTACATACTCACAGAAGCACACAAAGCAATAAATATTAAACAGGCCAGGAATCTTATCAAAATTAAACTCAGTATAAAACCCATGCCACCACCATTGCCTACACAAGCCAATGTACTTTATATGGATTGCCTTATTTCATCTTCACAAACTTTTGGGGAAAATCTTGCAATCATTCCATTATAAATATGAGGAAAGACTGAGATAGATTAAGTAACTATTGCAAAGAGACAAAGCATTAGTGATGGAAGCGAATTCAAACCAATTTCTTCACACCAACTTACAGTGGTTTCCAATATTGCTCATGAGTCTTAGCTCATAAAGAATAAAAAGAAAAATTGAAGGAGACATCAAGAGCACCATTAGAATAGCAGGAATTAACAAGGTGGTCAAAACTGGATGAAAAATAAATACAAGACTCATAAAAAGACACAAGTCTATAGTCACTTAGCAGAGGGACAAACAGTCACGGTTCTCTTGCATGCTCTGCTGACATCATGTCACATAGCTTATTGCGATGCATTATTTCCTAGCGGTGGTCCTAAACCATGGTAAGTGACAGATCACTCAGCCTGTTTATAAAAGGTAGAGGAATTTGGGCCTCCCCTGTGGCGCAGCGGTTGAGCGCTGGGTTGCGAAGCTGCCCGCGGCCTCTGCGGCGCCGGTTCGATCCCCGGCTGTTCCCTGGCCACCACAGGAGGGTCCCACATCGCGTGCAGACCTCTCCTGCCGCCCGCTGCTCCCCTCAGCAATGTGCTTCGGTCCTTCTGCCTGCTCTGCTCCCCGCTCTGGCTCTGGTGAATTCTCTCACCCTCCCACGCTTCTGACTGTACCCAGTATATGTATAAACAAAACAAACAAACAAACCAGCAAACAAATAAATAAAGCATGCCTCTATAAAAAAAAAAAAAAAGTAGAGGAATTTGTAATTTTCTCTTTTCAACAAAGATTTCAAAAGGTGATATCTGAAATATTATTTCCCAAAGAGGTAAGTTTTTGTTCACTAGACTTTCCCTGATATGTAATTATTCACTCCAGATCAACAGGGCATTACTGTACTTATGTTTTAGACAAACTAAAATGAGGTGATGTCTACAAAGAATATGGAACTAGGGGTGTGACAACTGGCTCTGACACTAATGATAGAAATCACTGTGCTCCTCTCTGCATCTCTACATTTTCACTTCTAAAGACAGGAGTTAGACTAATGATCTTAAGATTTCTTTTTCTACCTCTAACACTGAATGGCAACATAATGATGTTATAGGTGTTTAAGCTGCCTTTAGAGAGAAAAACATAATAAACTTGAACCTAGAGTTGCCAAAATGAGATCTTAATCTTGAAGAACTTTCAGATCTGAGCTTCGGACTCCAGGCCTGGCAATTAGTTAGACTGTCAGCTTCTGGGAAAAGAGCAAGGCACCCAGCAACTTCTGCAATAAACTTGAACCTTATTGATGTGCAAAGCTACATGTTATACCCAATATTTTGTACCAGGGGTTTCTTTTATGTTAAAAGTCTCGGGGAGGCTGGAGGCCAAATCATGCTTCTTTTGTGGGTTTGCAAAATCACTACTTTTTCCACTAACAAGCATTAAAACAGAGATTAAAAACATGCAGAAAGATAGGAAAGAAATTTACTTCAGGTTACACGGAAAGTTTTTGTTCATTGCCAAATTGCTCTATCAGAAGATAATCTACCATGTAGATTTAAGTTGTCCAGAAAAAAGCTTAGCTAATGTGACTACAAGTTTATTTTAGTTATCCAGCTATGCCATTTAAATATTGTTGCTGTGTTCTCCAAAAAAAGGAAGGATTTGTTAACTTAATGGTCATTACTATTCATTTCTGTATAAAACAAGTGTTTCTTTGTTTGCTTCATTGAAAAACTGTTGGGTGTGGCATGTTGGGTTTGGGTAGGTAAGAGGTGAATTCTGCATCATGCACAGTGTTGTAAAACAATACGGTCTCAATAAAAAAAAACAAATTACATTATTGGGGGGAGGGTGATTCAAAGGAACCAGGAGTTTTATTTTATTTTTTTAAAAGATTTATTTATTTATTTATACAAACACTGGGTACAGTCAGAAGTGCAGGAGGGTGAGAGAATTCACCAGAGCCAGAGCTGGGAGCAGAGCAGGCAGAAGGACCAAAGTACACTGCTGAGGGGCCGGGGATCGAACCGGTGCCGGGGAGGCTTCGGGCAGCTTCGCAACCCAGCGTTCAACCGCTGTGCCACCCGGGAGGACCAGGAACCAGGAGTTTTAAAGAGTATTCACAAATCCAAAGGTCTACAAAGGAGACTTCAAATGCAAGGTGAGACCTAACAGCAGGAGGTGCTACTACTCGGGGAACTTTTCAACTTTTCGGATGCTTCAGGGAGTGTGCTAGCACATACATGCTTGAAAGGCACAGGAGGACAGTCTTCCCAGGAGACCACTAATTTAAAGTTGGCCTCATCCCAATGCACTTTTCCAACTTCATAGGAACATATACAAAAAATGAAGATGTGGCTATTTGCACACACATGCACATACGTTTTGAAGTCTAGGGCAAATAAAGCTCTAATGGCTATGTCCTAGCATCAAAAATAACTTTGCGGTCACAAAAGCATTAATTCGAAGGGAAATCTGCACCCCTATGTTTTTTTATTTTATTTTTTAAAAAGATTTATTTATTTATTTATTTATACAAGCACTGGGTACAGTCAGAAGCGTGGGAAGGTGAGAGAATTCACCAGAGCCAGAGCAGGGAGCAGAACAGGCAGACTGATGAAGTACACTGCTGAGGTGGGCAGCGGGTGGCAGGAGAGGTCTGCACGCCATGTGGGACCCTCGCCAGGCGGCCGGGGATTGAATCTGCGCTGCAGAGGCTGCGGGCAGCTTCTCAACCCAGTGCTCAACCACTGCGCCACCGGGGAGGCCCAGCACCTCTATGTTTATTGCAGCACTATCTACAATAGCTAAGATATGGAAACAACCTAATGTCCAAAACCAGATAACTGGATCAAGAAGATGTGGTACATATACACAATGGAATTCTATTCGGCAATCAAAAAAGATAAACTCAGGCCATTTACAGCAACATGAATGGAGCTAGAAGTGATTATATTCAGTGAATTAAGTGAGCATGAAAAAGAAAAATATTGGATGGTCTCACTTATAGGTGGAATATAGGGAACCAGACAAGGGATCAGGAAAACAAGGCAAAATTAGTAGGAAAGCTATAAATTGGAGACATTCAGCAGGGGAGTGGGATCAAAACAGGGGAGTGGCTAGCACAAGAGACTATGGTGATGGTTCACTTGGTAATTTTGTGGAGATTACATCTGAGAGGAGAAATCAAACTGGCACAAAAATGAACAATGATGTGAAATATATAAATAAATTTAAAGAATGCATATATCTTTGCAAAGCACCCGAGGATCAAATCTGAACTTACGATGTAGCAGGGTTCGCAGTAGGCTTTCTTCTCCACAGCATAGAAGGGCTGCCCTCGGAGCTTGTTGCTACAGATAATGCAGGTAAAACATTCCACGTGGAAGACCTGATCCATGGCAGTACATCCTGTGCCTTCCCCAACTACGTTTTCCCCACAGCGAGCGCAGCGGCCTGCAAAAGTGAAAAGGGGTATCTTATTAAGAACACACCTAGTAATACCTTCAGTCCTTCCGAAGAAGTTGAGGTGGGGGAGATAGCAAATTCTTCAAGTCAGCAGCAGCAATAGGACTACCACGACTGCCATCACCATCTTGAGGAAGATCACCAGTCTTGTCCCTCTGAAGACTGCCATGACGGGACCTGAGCCATTTGAGGGGTTGACACTCACAGCTATGTTCTCATAGAAAGTGACAGAGCTGAACTCCAGTCCCCAAGTAGTCAGACCAGTGTCTTTCTCTCATCTCACACACAAGTGTAACAACAGAATTCAGGGGATTAGGAGTGGAAGGCACACTGCATAACGCACAGTAGGGCAGCTTTTCTTCTTAGTCTATGTCCAGCTAGATTGGGAAGGCACTGGATCCAAACTTAAACTTCAATTCCTTTCACAAAACCTCTGCACCTAGTTGGTGGTGACAAGTAGATACAAAAGCAGTTCTTTTTATTTCCAGATTGCTAGAATGTTCTTTCTCATAATAATCAGAAACTTCCTTACAGTAACAGCTACCCAATAGTTCCAGTTCTGTCTTCTGGGGACTCATGAAACAAGACTCATCTCTTCAAGTAAGATCCTTTTAGGCTATTATAATTCATTTGGCATTGCCTCCAAGTCCATCCTTAGATTCAACACCCCTAAATCCTGTAGCAGTTCCATATAATGTTGGGTTTTAGGTTGCTTATGGCCCTGAGTTCTGCAATTTTCAGTGTTCTTAAATTGATACCTATCGCATCAGGACCACGTACGGAAAGCAGATTTAAGTTAGAAAATTTCACATTAATTTTTTAAAATTAACAATAAAACCTAATTAAAATATTTATATCAGTGAGCAATATGAGACTGGTTGCAATCAATATCAATACCCGGCTCTATCATGGGAATCTGGAGCCAGAAGTCAGATCCACATAAATTTTTTTTTTTAGATTTATTTTTTATTTATACAATAGCTGGGGTACAGGCCAGAGGCATGGGAGGGTGGAAAATTCACCAGAGATAGAGTGGGGAGCAGAACAGGCGCGACAGAAGAGGTCTGCTGTGCCATGTGGGAATCTCCCTGGCAGGCCGGGAATTGAACTCATGCTGCACAGGCTGCAGACAGCTTCACAGAGCTGCGCTCAGCTTCACAGCACTGTGCTCAACCCGCTGTGCCACAGGGGAGGCCCCAGATCCACATGCATTTCTTTCTTTCTTTTTCTTATTTCCAGTAAGTCAATAAATATTAACAAGTATTACAGGTCACTAGGACTGTCAACAAGAATTTGTTGGGTTTTAGACATGAGCTATAGTAAACTTAGTGTTTATATGTGTCAAGAATTTTAAAGATACTTTATATGTATGAACTCATTTCATATTTTCAACAACTATGTGATGGATACTATTTATATTTTACAGATGAGGAAATTGAGCCACAAAAATGGATAACTGATTTCAAACCCATGCTATCTGGCTGCGGCATCTATGGTCCTAACCACTATGCTCTCTTGCATCTTCTCAATTGTGTGCATCAGGATTAAACACAGAGATGACATGGAAAGAGTTCTCACAGAAGACTGCTTTCAGCACTCCATCACATTAGATTGACAGCCACTTCACACTCAAAAATGGGAGGGCTAAATGTTTCAACTGAGGAGAAGAGACAAATACATTTCTATTCTCTCCAGTTGCATTTGCTCTTGAAAAGTATTTATTTCTTGTTGCTTGAATTTATCTTTAAAATATTGTTCACACTATGCATCATTTTCTTCCAAAGGAATAAGGAATATCAAGTACTAACAAATCAAAAAGAGTCAAAACTCTTGGAAACTGAGCTGCCTCTTCTATAATTGACATTATAAAAAATGTTCAACATACTCTGGCCATGGTGGGGGGAATACTTAAAAACTATTTGCAATAAACTTGGTGACTTGTTTTACAAACTTCTATCTAAGAGTTAAACCTGTACTGGGTTTATTACAAAATGTACAACATAGAAAAATAACATTAAAATTTTGGATTTTCATTATCATTAGTAAAAAAATTGGGTTATTTCATATGGCATCATTTTTGTGATTATTCATTAAAAAACAATTGCTTTACTAAAAGTTCACTATGCTATGATTGAAAGTGATATTAAATTTCTGTGAAAGTGACATTAAATCAACAACTATGTGATGGGTACTATTACTATTTATATTTTACAATGAGGAAACTGAGTCACAAAAATGGATAACTGACTTGTGAAAGTAAAATTCTATGAGCTTCAAGATTTCATGTGACATTACATTACAGAAAATGCATTGGGGGTTACAGTCAAGTGGATCACCACCCTTTAGCTCTAATTTATAAAGAGTCATCATCATATTTAGAATTTAAACTTTTCTTTTTCAACTGCTTATGCAAAATCATCACATTCATTCCACCATATACACATTCACATCTAATATTTATAATAAGGTCCTTTTCTCTAGAATTTACATTTGTAATGTTAATTTGAATTGTTATTTATGGTACTATATTTATTATCATTTTTTTCATCTTCAATGAATCATATTCAAATCACTGATCAATTTTGGTGCCCCAAAGAACTAATGAAACATGATAGTAATAAATAAAAATGTTAAGGTTAGTAGCAGCGGACAAAAACATATTACTGACATGAAAATATACTGAGTCGAATGGCATTGGATAAACAACACCGGCAACACAGGTATTGTGATACAGGTGTAATCTTTTAGTAGGTGATAATTATAATGAGCATAAAGGATTCCTGTGAAAAGTATGCTTGTAGATTTCAGAGTTGTTAAATACAAGTCAAAAACTTATTTTTATTATTTTTCTCCCTTCTGGGCTCCATGATTATCTACCAGTATCATTAATGATCTTTGGACAACATTTTGGGGGAAACAAAACTGTATAGGTCAAATGTCAGCTATTGGCTGTGGTTTTCTACTAAGCAGGTAGAGGTAGCAATTCTGATTCAGACCATAGCTCCCCAGAGTGTAATAGGTGCAATCCAAGATCCTGAGTCTACCTGTTTGATGGAGAATTTGAGAGTGAATCTGGGAGAGAGGCTTTGTAATTCTCATCCTATTCAATAGACATTCCCAGGTATCCACTCTCTGCCCACTATTATATCCTGCTTCTGTGTGATATACAGAAATGGATTAGTCATCAGTGCCCTATGTAGTGACTACAGTGCCTATACACAACCTACATTCACATGACCGGAATGAGCAAAGTGCCATGAGACACAATGCTATGGAAATATGTGAGGACAATGACATGAGAGGTCTTAGGACAGATTTCCTAGAGAAGGAAGCATTTGAGCTCAGCTTTACACGATGGCATTTTGACAGGTGGGGATGGAAGAGAGAAAAACATTTTAGTTTTTCCAAAGAGGGAATGAAAGTGGCTGGGATTACTGGATCCATAAAAACTGCAGTAACTTGGTGCTGGCATAACAAGGATTTGTCTTCTCAGCTATGCAAGCAGATGAACTGTAGTCAGCAGGAACAATCACCTCCTTTGTATTGTGGAGAGTATTCTTCCAGAGTGGGTCAGCCTAATATGCTGGACCCAGACATGACTAGCTCTGCTGCCTCCCGTATTTTTCCTATTCTTGGGAGAAATCAGGGACACCAGGCTCGAGGGCAGTCAGTCTGGCACCTTTAGAAATCACAAGCACAGAAAAGGAGCGAAGAACAAAAATTAAAAATAGTCCTACACATCAGCAGGACAGTAAAGGTGCCCGAATGTTCTCTTTCACATTAACAAAAATGTACAAACTATGCCTTTTAAGGAGATATTCACAATGGAAAGAAAGTTCCTTAAGTAGAGTGCCTCCTTACCCCTAAAGGGGCTTATACTACACATTGTTAAAAGCAAACCACAATCTTACTCCTCTTTTAGAAAAGGATCTCAGAACTTGTAAGGGAGAAAATCCAAGGGAATGGAATCAGATTTGAAGGCATCCGAGCATGAAGGAAATAGTTGGTAGGAAGCTCAAGTTCATATCCAGCTCTGGTATGACCAGCTTATTGGCAAAGCTTAGCATAGTAACTTAAAAAGACAGTCTGGGGAGACTTTTGTTGAATTAAGGCACATGAACTACCCCCCTCACCCCATGCTTGTTTATATTAGTGCCATATATATATATATATATATATATATATAGAGAGAGAGAGAGAGAGAGAGAGAGAGAGCTTTGTAATGACTGTGAAGTCAGCCATTGATTCTTCTCATGCTTCTGACTCCCCTAAGCCCCTAGATGTAGAAACTTCTTTGAAACACTTCCTTCGACACTTCCTCCCACCACATGTGAGCAGCACATGCTCATTACTTAAATCAGGTTCCACTATCTTTCATGACCATCACAATGGCTTCCTGCTTGTCCCACTATCTCTGATTTACTTCCTCTTACAAATGGGAAGTCCTTACAGAAGTCTTAGTTTTAAGTCCAGACAGTTACACAGAATTTGAACAATCTACTTAGGAATGGATGGATGGAGGGTGACATTACAGGCAATTAACGGGTTGAACAAGGGGGATAGAATAGTGGGGTGTTGATGGTCATATTTATAAATTCTGGTTTTCCCTTTTGGTAATATGCATTTATTTATTTATTATTTCCTTTATAATGTGAAAAAATAAAACCTCTTATTTAAGAATGTTTTTTCCTCTGATCCAGAACCCTTTTTGATAATCACTGCTTATTTGGGAGGTGGAACAGGGAACTGGTCAGAGGCATTCTTAGAGTGGGGACCATGGGATCAGGGGTGACATCCTCCTAGACTTACATACTATTCAACATGAAAAGTAAAAATTTATGCAGACTTCAAGCCAGGTCACATATGTCTTTGTGTTTTCCTTGTTACTGACATTTAATAGAAATTTTTGGCATAAAATATTCTACTTTAAAATACTGCAAAGATTAAAAACCTTATATGCCAATGGTGTTAGCAATGAGCACATTCTT